GACCATGCGACGGTGACCCCGGACCCCGCCCCGCCTTTTGCCTGCAGGGGGCCGCAGCGTTCAACAGCCGGGGTTATGCCGGTGCCCGGCGGGACCGGCGGCCGGGGTCGATCTGCCGGTGCACGGCCGCAGCAAGACCCTGGCGGGTTCAGCCGTGTTCGGATATAGGACCTGCTCGGATACAGAACCTGCTCGGATATAGGACCTGCTCGGACATAGGACCCGCTCGGATACAGGACCTGCTCGGATAGAGGACCTGCTCGGATACAGGACCTGCTCGGATATAGGACTTGCTCGGATATAGGACCTGTTCGGACACAGGACCAGGCGTAAAAACAGAACTGGCGTTCGGGCACAATCGATACGCGACAATATGAAGGTCAGCTCCGGCAGAATGCATCAGCGCCTGCCTCGGTTCGTGCTGGCATGCATAATTGTATCAGGGGCCCCACCCCAGCCACTCACACACGTTGTCCACCCGATCATGACCATTTGAAGGGAGGCATGTGTATGCTGATGCGGGATGCCCATCTCTAAACCGTTACATTAGTGTCCCGACCCTGTGTGGACGACGCACGCTATCTTCGGATATCACGGAGGCATGGGACGCCACCAGGCAGCACCACACGTTATGCCCGAGCGGTTGGCGTGTCCGGCTTCCACGTGGTGGGTTCGGGTTTGAATTCCGGTCGCCCCACGGGCTCGTGATGAGCTCTAGCATGATCGCAGCAGCCGCTGGCGCGCCATAAAAGGGCGCGCCTGCGTGGTGCTTCCCCCCCCCCCCCCCCCCCCCCAAGCAGGTGAGGCCGTGCGATTCGTTGCGACCCGGCCACCGCTCATCAGCTGTTGACTTCCAGTGATTTTGTATTGGCTACTATCGAGGTCGACGTCATACTGCCACCAGAATATCGTCAGAGGACCTACGCAAGTTCGTCGCCAAGCTGTGGGCGACATTTGTGGAGCAAACGAGGCCAGCGGCGCACTGGTGATGCTTTCCAGCATCTGCTAACGAGACTATCTCGAATAAGATATCGAATTAAATCCTTGCGTCTGGAACCACTCCGAGCACCAAATCACATGACGCGTGAAGGGCGAAGGGACACATAACGTGACAAAACGCAGCGAATGCCAGCCATGACCCGGAGGCTCGCACCGGAGCGCCGTCGGTGTACCGAACCGGCCAACCGTCGCTGGGCTGACCCGGAGGCTCGCACCGGAGCGCCGTCGGTGTACCGAACCGGCCAACCGTCGCTGGGGTGACCGGGAGACCCGCACCGGAGCGTCGTCGGTGTACCGAACCGGCCAACCGTCGCTGGGCTGACTGGGAGGCCCGCACCGGAGCGCCGTCGGTGTACCGAACCGGCCAACCGTCGCTGGGGTGACCGGAAGGCCCGCACCGGAGCGTCGTCGGTGTACCGAACCGGCCAGCCGTCGCTGGGGTGACCGGGAGGCCCGCACCGGAGCGTCGTCGGTGTACCGAACCGGCCAACCGTCGCCGGGCTGTCAGGTCGGGCCATATCAGGTCAAGCGTACGTAGACGCGCCAACGCTTAGGATGCATGGATGCATTGGACGGCGAATATGCCCGGCCCTCCAAGGCCGTCACTGCTGTGAGCAGGGTGGCCACACGCCATTGTGCCGCCGTGCTGCTCACGTCTGGACTGTGGTGGCGGACGTCAGTATTTGGCGTCTGGGGGAGGGAAGGACAGGGGCGGGGGGGGGGGGGGGCAGCCAGAAGTCCAGGCGCAAAACCGGGCGCTCTCTGAGCCCAAGCTGATCTGGTTGCAGGCCCCTAGGCCTTGGAATAATAGAAGCGCCGCTACGGCCAGGAAGGAGGGCATGCAAAGCAGCAAACGTACGCGGTAGCACCTTCGGCCCGGCTAAGATTCGGACTGGGCGTAGCTTACACGCCAACTATAGCGTGATTTGTCCTCGTACCGCAACAAACTCCCACACTGCACTGAGCGGGTATCACCAAATGTGTTAGGTCGTGGTGTGATCAACCCTTGAGGTTGGTGACCATCAGCGGTAACGAGCTGAATAAAGATACGTGCTACATTTGCGTCCAGGAACTAGACCAGCGTCCAGCGGGCCGTGCAGTCTTGGTCTCCAACACACCGACGTTTCGGTGTTGGTCCCGTGTGCATAGGTGGATAACATGAAACTATTCGATGCATGAGGTGACCAAAAATATACGACGATGTTTTACACCCTATGCTGAACACGGGGCTTGACTGTGCTTGTCTAAAGACACGCATCACCCCTAACGCCAATAGTATTGCAATTTTCACACTCCCTGCACTACAGAGAACAGAGGCTCCATGCACACCAAGTCTCACACCAGAGCATAAATGTACAGGGAGGTAAGGCTCACACTGAAAAGATAAAGCCAACAACTGAAATATTATCACAATTATGTGTGAATCCATAGGACATCTTGAGACTGATACCGTGGAATGGGTCCTCTGGATTTCCTAAAATGGGCTCTGATTTGATGGGTGAGCCTGTGCGTCCTTGCACAAAGTGTGCCCTAAAGACCATAGATGAGCTACTGGACTACTGGTAACTACAGGCTGGTTGCAACTCAGCTTGCCTCTGCCTGCACCATCTTCAAGTATCACGCTTCCTTTCTGTGCAATGAAGAAGTTTCCAAGAATACTAGCTGGTAAATAAGGCTCACTTGACTGGTATTACCACTCTTACCCACATTGTAGAAACCAACCCTTCACCAAGTCAGAGATGCCACTGCATCTCTGACTTGATTGGGGGACTGCTGGGCTCTGGTCGCCCCCTCCCCCCCCCCCCCCCCCCCCCCCCCCCCCCCCCCCCCCCAACTCTGGGGAGAAAGTTGACCAAATCCAGCCAGACACTGATTTGTTGGTTATTTTGGGGTGGGTTCTGTCATTTTGAATGTTTGCCCCTAATACACCCTTCCTCCCCCCCCCCCCCCCCCCCCTCCCACCTCATGTGGCAGATTCACACACATCTGAAGCCAGCATGAAAACATGCCAAGATTAAAATTGATGCCTGAAAACCTTTTACTTTAGTTGCAATTTGTCAGGCTGGTTTATAATTTTCTAATTAAATTAACAGCATTTAGCATGACATGGCTGAAGGCACATGGTGCCCCTGTGAGGAAAACAGCCGCTGTTTGGCAATAGCTGTCTGTTAAGCCCAACAATATTAGAGCTAGCAGTGTGTTTCTCACACCAGCTAGACATCTTCAAACACAGAAACATCACGTGTGCCACACATGTCCCCTCGGGCTGAGACATCTGGTCACTTCACAGGCGGGAGCAGATGACAAGTCAGTTGGCTGGCATGAGAGCTGGCTTAACATATCATGTCATTCTCAGCACCTTTAACCCTTGTTTAAAGAGATGTTTTCCTTTGCCCTCTGTGGAGGCCTCAGAGCCTTCCCCTTCCCCTCCCCAACATCTTGTAAACTATAGTGAGTTGGTCATGCAGAAAATGGCACTGAAAAGCTTGTGTCTAATGTACAAGACAGATGGATCTGAGCGTCTGGACATGATGGTAAATGTGACCTTTGATGGGTCAAACCAGGCCAAATGTGTCAAATCTGTTCTAATCAAGAACTTATCCAGAAACATAAATGGGATAGAACAGGGTTAGAAGGGCCCTCTTGTGTCATAAGATTTGTAAGACGCAACCGGAAACATAAATGGGATAGAACAGTGTTAGAAAGGCCCTCTTATGTCATAAGATTTATGGCTTAAATCAGACCATCACTCAGCCTTCAAGTTATTAAATCTGATCACAAAAGGTAAGGTATGGCCTAGCTTGACCTTAGAAGACTTGACTTTTCAATAGCCACAAGAATGATGGCGATGCACTTAAAAGATCACATAACATTGGCTGTTAAAATCCTCTTGAGTGCATTTCCTCTAAAATGAAACTAATTTGGTGCTTCTGAGCAAATGGCACTTGCATGACCTTCAGGAAGAGATCATACCCCAGCCATGCATGCTCATCCTCAGAAACTTGAAATTTTCACAAGATGTATACAAATTATGGGAACACAGGTAACAAAATTATAATGTTACACTAAAAACAATTTTGAAGTTATTCAAGAAAGCTCAGAAAGGCCAATAGGATATGGGTTAACTAAATATGCCACTTGGGAAGCACAAAACACATACTTATTTCATCCTGCATAGAAATGGTCACACTCATATATGATCCACTAATGTGGTCTAAAATTTGAAGCATTAATAATTTACTCATCTATAAAACCTATATCAACACTTAGAATTCATGGTGATTTTGTCACAATATGCTTGATCAACTAACAAAAACACAATAACAAGTGTTCACATATCTTGTTCTCTGGTGCCTTGCCTGGTGACTTTGATAATCACACCACTCTGCTGTGATGCAGATCTTGCAAGAGACTGTCAATCTGAAGGTAGCAGCCACTGCTCCCATACCTTATTTCTCTTCATTGTAAAACAGCTATTACCTGAAGACAAATACCTGTTTCAATAGCAACACATGTTGCAGGTTTTGAGAGCAAAGGTTGCAAATGAATATTGTTAAGTCTGGGGCAGCATTGCAGCAGGGACAAAAAATCAGAAGCAGCTATAAAGGCTGCTTTAAAAGCTAATAAGCTCTGCTAGTCACTGGCACAGTATGCATACTACATGTGATGCTTGTGCTTGAGCCCAAGTGGGGTCAGGCCCAGCCTCAGAATCAATAGCCTGTCCTTTGACTCATAGTGAAATAAATTCTCTCATGTATTGATATGAGTAAATGCTGGAGCCTACTACTGAGATATAAATAAGAAATGAGTTAAGCATACAGAAATACATATTAACAATATCTATCAGACACAAAACAACTTAACATATGCAGACAAGCTGAAACAAGGCACTGTGTTACACGGCTATCTTACTAGGGAAAATAAACAGTATCAGGTTCCATACAGCAAAGGATGGCGTGAAGAAACATGGAACAGAAAGAGCTGTTTGAATAGGCACCTACCTGAATGCTGACAGCTATGATATCAAATCAACAGATCACTCTTCTGGGTGGCCGCTAAGGAACACGTCAATCGGTTAGCTAGCACGGGTAGGCACTAGCCACTTGTCAGGAGCCCTGTGGTTATGTTGTTCAGTTTGTATGTACTTGGTCTCAGCGCTTTGAGAGGCTAAAAATAAGCTATCGCACTTAGTTTTACGCGTGTCAGGAAAAGCACCAACTTCTCTCAGTGCTGGTACTAGTATCACTTAAGTTTCAACGCTCTTACAGGCAACCAGCCACCACCCTCCCGCATACGTAAACGCGCTGATCTTCAAAGGTTCCTCCCAGCTGTTCGTGGGCCGTGTCTGCGTCATTGCTTGTAACATTTGCGCCGTTACACAGAACACAGATAATCATTTTATAATATGCCCAAGTTTCTCGCTGAGAAATAGATAAAAGTTGTAAAGAGAAAATGAAGTGATTGCTGTGATGTGCAATTTGTTTTCATTCATATGAATGTATCAAAATATATTTTCATAGAGCCATTGAAACCGTTATCAACGGGATTTAATATTCGTCTTGAGCAAGTGTTTCGTATTATACGAATATCACGCAAGAAAGACGGACGCTGAGATTGGAAGCCGCGCACACGTGCACGTGTGATCGGTGGGTCGTTTTGGGTCCCGCCCGAGTTTGCCGACACATGTGTCTTCACTACATTGCTATTGGTGTTGATATGACCATGAATGAAATACGGGTTATGTTCGCTTAGGTGTCGAGTCAGGTTCTTACCAAAGGCTGCAGGGTCCTGTTGGTACGTCGAACAGTTCCATTCCGGCGTCTGTATCAAATCGTGGCTATATTTCAAGCATTGAACAAGATACCCACATGGATGGCATAGCAATGCCAGTGGGTGCTCCCAAAAAGGAAATTGGCAGGCATCCCATCGCACCCAAAATCCTCAGTCTCTTCACCAGTCTTACAGACAAGGATGCTGAACAACGTGTTAAAGCAGCTTTGCTCCTTGTTCAGCAAGTAGCATCATCCGAAGAACATAAGCAGGTAAAGTGACATTGAAAGCTGTGCTAGTTGCTGGTACAATTTACACACTTGCTTATGAGCCTTATAGCCATTAAAATGCACAAAGTCTGACTATGCCAAGTTATATCTATTTGATGTGCAGTTGTATTAGTTGTCAGTGGCACAGTTGTATAGTATCAGTGTTAGGAATGTATCACCTTAGAAGTCACCTTCGCAACTATCATTATTCCATGAAAAATTGGCCCTCTATGCTCTGAAATCTGTGTCCGCCACATGCCTAACTCCGAACTCTTGGCATTGTGGTGCATATGTACTGAAATTTTTGCCAGGATGGGATAGGATCTGAAAGTATAATTTTCATGGTAACATGCATTTATTGTGGCCTGGGTATCAGGCAAATTAGATGAGAAAGCCTACTTGAGCTCAAAAATCATTGTGTTTTGTCTGGTTGGAGAAACATGACACATGAAGACATCATGCTGGACCTGCAGTATGCATGCTTAACTCAGGCAAGGCCAAATTTCATAGAATTTTCCCATCTTTTTTTGGTAAAAAGGGGTCTGAATGCTTTTTGTCTTGCCTGGCATCCCCCTATTAATGTTATGTTTCCTTGAAACATTGGCTTCCTATGTGCTAGAATCAGTGGTGACCATACCAAACTTGGGGCTCTGAGATTCATGGCATGCATACACTTCAGGTGTTGCATGATGTCATCTAAGTGTGGGACATTCAGCATACTGATGAGTTAATTGAGAATTAAGATTGTACACATTGTATTATTACTAGCTGGCTACTTCTTCTGTTTCTGATGACTCAGTCAGGGTATACATTGCTACCTCATGTTAAGAAAGGGCATTGTACATCAGTCATCATTTGTAAGGCAGAACATGTTGTAATTAATCATCAAACAGGTCATCTAAACTCTTACTTGGAACTTAAATAACTATGATAGTGAACATCTGAGTGCAAACACACAGCAATGACGACCCTGGCACCATTTCTATGTGTGATTGCAACATTGTTGCCTGTCACAACATTACTGCCCATCAAGAACCATAAAAAATGTATGAGGCCAAGGTAACAAGAGTCCAATAAAATGTGTTTCTTGTATATCCAATCAGTGTTCCATATTGTTTGTAGATTGGTCAACATGGTGGGGAAATATGATGTTTTTGGGTGGGAATGAAAAGTAAAATGAGAATATGGCAGCTAAACAAAACTTCTTAATATGGTACATATATATGGCAGGGAACATGGATGCCAATGGGACACTGGGTTGAAGGGGATAGGATGGGGGGTTAGGTTTGGTTAAGTTAGGTTAAGTTAGGTTAGGTTAGGTTAAGTTAGGTTAGGTTCATTGTTAGGCCAGGTTAGGTTAGGTTAGGTTAGGCTAATTTAGGCTATGTTCTGGACTGTTCTGGCCGGTCTGTTTCATAAAAGTACCGAGACATAATAAGAAACATTTTCATTGCATTATTATTGTTGCTTTGGTCCCATGCATTTTTTATGGTTCTTGACAAGCAGAAATATTGTAATTACACAACAACAACGCAGAAACTGCGCTGGGGAGTCGGGGCGGTGGGGTGCATGCGGTGCTCAGGAGCTCGCTATCGTAGTTGTTAAAATTTGGAGGTAGGAGCATGAATCTACCAGTTTCAAGATTATTTATATGTTCCGCCTTGAACACGACAAATGGTGTACAATGATTTGTTCTAATGTTAGATACCCATGTATACCTACACTGACGACTCCTGTGTACAGCACCTGACTACTCTTCACATGCTCCCCTAAGCAGCACCCGACTACATGTCATATGTTCCTCTGTGCAGCACCTGACCACACTTCTCATGCTCTCCTGTGAAACACCTAACTACACTTTGCATGATCTCCCGTGCAGCTCCTGACTACACTTCTCATGTTCTCCTGTGCAGCGCCCAACTACACTTATCATGTTCTCTTGTGAAGCACCTAACTACACTTTGCATGATCTCCTGTGCAGCTCCTGACTACACTTCTCATGCTCTCCTGTGAAGCACCCAACTACACTTCTCATGTTCTCCTGTGAAGCAACCGACTACACTTCTCATGTTCTCCTGTGCAGCACCCAACTACACTTCTCATGTTCTCCTGTGCAGCACCTGACTACGCTTCTCATGTTCTCCTGTGCAGCACCTGACTACGCTTCTCATGCTCCCCTGTGCAGCACCTGATAGCACTCCTCACACTTCCGTGTGCAGCACCTGACCACTTTTCTCATGATCCCCTGTTCTGTAGGACTGTGATGTGCTGAGCCAGGATGCCAGTTACTGCCTGCGGCGGCTGGTGCGAGGCCTGTCTTCATCACGGGCTGGCGCGCGCGAGGGCTTCTTCACGGCGCTGGTGCAGCTGCTGCGCCAGGTGCCGGCCGTCGGTGCCGGCCAGCTGCTATCAGTGGCAGCTGCGCAGCTGCCGGACGTGCGCGAGGACCGGCAGCGCACCGAGCACCGACTGGGTCGGCTACTGGCGGCGGGTGCGGCCGTGCGCGCCGGCCGGCTGGACGAGCAGCTGGCTGAGCTGACCTGCCAGCTGCTGTCCGCCTGGACATACCGCGCCTACATGCCGCCCATGGTCGCCAGCTTCGTGGCCGAGCTGGTGCAGAAGGTGCGCCCCACTAAGTGGCAGGCTACCGGAGAAATCCTGCTGATGATGTGGGCTTTGTCAGTATGCACATCTGACGTGGAGGTTTTGTTGCACCAGTTGAGTTTTCTCTGTGTGCCAGTGAATTTATGTGTAGCTGCCATAGGCTCCGCATGATGATGGGCTTTGTGTGTCACTGGCACACTATTTTGACTTGGGAGGATGGCAGGAGGACAGATCTCCTAGCATCATCGGCAGCGTCCCCCCTGCCCCTTCGCCTCCCCCCCCCCCCCCCCTCCCCCTGACGACCGTTGGCGTCATGTGACGGGTTACCAGGAGCCCGTGCTGCCGATGTGCCAGCCGCGAGAAGGCCGCGCGCTGAGCGTTTGTGTTGCCGCTGTGGTGGCGGCAGGTGCCCGAGGAGCGGTTCCAGTCGGAGGTGTGGCCTGAGCTGAGCGTGCTGCTGGCTCGTGGCTGGCACCAGTGCGTGCCCGAGCGGCTCTGGCTGCTGCTCGTCTGTCGCCGCCAGTTCCCCGCCGTCTGCGACACGCCGTTCCTCAAACAGCACTGGGGCTCCAAGAAGCTGCTCTCGCCCAAGAACCACACTGCCATCGCCGAGATGATCAAGGTGAGCCGCTGCCGGCATGCATGCTGGTAAGCTGCTGCCGGATGGCAAGCGGCTTAAAGGAACAATCATGGGCCACAAGTACTTAAAGTATGTGCTGTGCGACGTCAGTGGCCGGGATATTTTTGAAATAACAAGCATTTGATAGTAGGACAGCTGTTTGTGCTGGGCAGGGGAATGCAAAGTGTCTCTCACTGAGCACGGAAGCGCACGCATATTTCACGTGATTTGTATATGTTCCTGTAATGCGTCTACCGAATGAACCACGTCAAATGCGCGGTACTTGTGCACCCAACGCCTTCGTATAGCGGGGCACAGTCCGCTCCACATGCCGTGCGAAGTGCCGTCGTCGCCTGCGGCGCCGGTCGCGGCGTGGGCGGTCGTTATGCCGCCTGACGCCGGCGTTGCGCAGGCGTCCGCCGCCACCCTGCCGGCTATCCACCCGCTGGTGACATCGCTGGTGGCGTTTGCCGTGGAGCGGCCGGCCGCCGAGCTGGTGGAGCTGCATCAGCGCGTGCTGGAGCCGCTGTTGGAGGACCGCACCGCCGCCTTGCTCGTCATGGCCATGCTGCAGATGGTGGTGCCCCACCTCACCACGCCCGAGCTGGTGAGCGCCGTCGCCGCCGCCGCTACCCGAGCGCTGGGACGCGTGTAGGGTCACTGCCCGCCCGTGAGTCACGGACGGACAGTGAGCCCGGTCACAGCCCGTGACTGTTCTGCCTCGCCGTGTGGGGTATCCGCACATCCGCAGGGGCGGTGTTGTTGTCGCGGCGGCGTTTGCACTGTTACTTCTCTGTTCGGTATCATTGGCTCGTTAATCACTCGCGCAAAAGCTACTGGTGGCGTGTCGTCGTCCGCCAATGGCCTCCAGCCGGACCGTGCCGCGTCCGCCGCCTGTCAGCCGGTGACGCCGCCGTCCGCGCCGCCAGCTGGCGTCGGTGCTGAGCCCAGCCATGGTGGGCGCGCTGGTACGGCTGCTGCCCAAGCGGGACCAGCGGACGGAGCAGGCGGCTCGCGGCCTCGGCTCGGCGTTGGTCAGCCTGCTGCTGGCGCCCGACAGCGACGCCCAGCTGCAGCTGGCGCTGGTCGGCCGCCTCGTCAGCCCTCCCGGCTCCATTAACTTCGACCACATGACTGGTGAGACGCCGGTGCTGCTCGGGTGTCGCGTGACGGACGGCTCGGACCTCTGACGTGACATGACGGGCTGCCTGGACCTTGGACGTCACGTGACGGACGGCTCGGACCTCTGACGTGACATGACGGGCTGCCTGGACCTTGGACGTCACGTGACGGGCGGCTCGGGCCTCTGACGTGACGTGACGGGCTGCCTGGACCTCGGACGTGACGTGACGGGCTGCCTGGACCTCTGACGTGACGTGACGGGCTGCCTGGACCTCTGACGTGACGTGACGGGCTGCTCTGACGTCACGTGACGGGCTGCTCTGACGTCGCGTGACGGGCTGCCTGGACCTCGGACGTCACGTGACGGGCTGCTCTGACGTGACGTGGCGGGCTGCTCTGACGTCGCGTGACGGGCTGCCTGGACCTCGGACGTGACGTGACGGGCTGCTCTGACGTGACGTGACGGGCTACCTGGACCTCTGACGTGACGTGGCGGGCTGCTCTGACGTCGCGTGACGGACTGCTCTGACTTCGCGTGACGGGCTGCTCTGACGTGACGTGACGGGCTGCTCTGACGTGACGTGACGGGCTGCTCTGACGTCGCGTGACGGGCTGCTCTGACGTGACGTGACGGGCTGCTCTGACGTGACGTGGCGGGCTGCTCTGACGTCGCGTGACGGACTGCTCTGACGTCGCGTGACCGGCTGCTCTGACGTGACGTGACGGACTGCTCTGACGTGACGTGACGGGCTGCTCTGACGTGACGTGACGGGCTGCTCTGACGTCGCGTGACGGGCGGCTCTGACGTGACGTGACGGGCTGCTCTGACGTGACGTGACCGGCTTCTCTGACGTCACGTGACGTGACGGGCTGCTCTGACGTGACGTGACGGGCTGCTCTGACGTGACGTGACGGGCTGCTCTGACGTGACGTGACGGGCTGCTCTGACGTGACGTGGCGGGCTGCTCTGACGTGACGTGACGGGCTGCCTGGACCTCGGACGTGACGTGACGGGCTGCTCTGACGTGACGTGACGTGACGGGCTGCTCTGACGTGACGTGACGTGATCCGATCCTCAGGTCTCGGTCCATTTGCCTTGCTCCCCGCGCATAGATGCTGGATCGACCGCCATCTGGCTTGATGTTAAACGGTTGATCGTGAGCGAGGTAGGAGTTAGAGAAAGTGGACCTCAATATACTTGTGCAATAATGGCATGGAAAATATTTATCCCCTTGACACCCAAATGGCTGAGCTTTGCCACACTGGCTGGGGCGGCGGTAGGTTAGCCAGCTGTTGCGGCTCTGTCATCAGTGGTGCATAACAGATGAAATGCCACATGAATGTCGTCATTGGGCGCATCCGATGAATGTCTGATATTTGTTCTGCTTATATGTATAACGTGTAACGTATTTATGTGTAAACATTTAGTTGGTAGTGCAATGTCCATGTTGTCAGCGGAGACCTGTTGTGTCCGTGTGTCTAACTCAACCCAGGTCACCTGAATTTCAGTCGAATGGACCATACAGGGTTTATTGCACAGCAGCTGAGGCTTGTTGAAAAGTGTTTGGTGCTAATCGGAGTATGACACGACCGCTGCCGCTGCTCGCTTGCAGGCACGAAAATCCTGGCCCAGATGATCAACGGCCTGAAGGCTGAGGCGCTGGAGCCGTTCAGCGAGATCGCCATCAGCGCCTTCAACGGCACGCAGGATGACCGTAACCAGGTGAGACGGATGATTTGTGTGCGTTGGTGTGCGCGTGGGTGGCTTCTATGGACGGGCGGCGGTCACGCGTGCGCCATCGCCGCGATCCTCGGTCGCGGGCGTGCTCACGGGTGTGGGCGTGGGTGGCTTCTATGGACGGGCGGCGGTCACGCGTGCGCCATCGCCGCGAGCCTCGGGCGCGGGCGTGCTCACGGGCGTGGGCGTGGGTGGCTTCTATGGACGGGCGGCGGTCACGCGTGCGCCATCGCCGCGAGCCTCGGGCGCGGGCGTGCTCACGGGCGTGGGCGTGGGTGGCTTCTATGGACGGGCGGCGGTCATACGCGCGCCATCGCCGCGAGCCTCGGGCGCGGGCGTGCTCACGAGCGTGGGCGTGGGTGGCTTCTATGGACGGGCGGCGGTCATACGCGCGCCATCGCCGCGAGCCTCGGGCGCGGGCGTGCTCACGGGCGTGGGCGTGCATCCGTGTCTCCTGCATCAGCGCGCCGAATGGAACGGCAAATACGTTGAAAGCCATTTTAAAGAAGTTGCTTAGGGTTCTTCCAAGAGTATCGTGTCATCATCGTCCTCGAAAGACAGTCGTTTCCAGCGAACGGAACACCCGCCCGGCATCAACGCCACCACCGGGCTGTTGTCTCAGCCACCGCCCCTCCGACGCCGCTCGCCCCCGTCTCTGACGGCCACCCCTGACTCCGCCGCATCTGACACTGCCCTTGACTGCCGCCCTTGACGCCGTCCGCCGCGCCGGCAGACGCCGCGCGGCCGGGCCGTGGCGTGCGATATACTGTGTCGGCTGGTGCAGCACCCGAGCGTGCCCGGCCCCAGCCCGCTGAAGCAGCGCCTGCTGCAGCGGCTCTTCACTGCCGGCGCCACGTGCGACCCGGACGTACCCGATGAGCTGGCCGCCACCGCGCTGCGCGCCTTCTTCAGGTGGGTCAGCCTGGTCGCTGGTCAGCTCAGGCCGCCCCGCCTGGCCGCTGGCCAGCTCCGGCCGGCTCGCCCAGCCGCTGGCCAGCTCCGGCCGGCTCGCCCAGTCGCTGGCCAGCTCAGGCCGCCCCGCCTGGCCGCTGGCCAGCTCAGGCCGCCCCGCCTGGCCGCTGGCCAGCTCCGGCCGGCTCGCCCAGCCGCTGGCCAGCTCAGCCGCCGGCAAGGGCACGGCGTGCGGATTGCAGTCCAGGAGCAGGAGGGAAGTGGTTTTGTCGTCGTGTCCGTAAGGAAACGTCTTCCCCATGGCTTCGAGGCTTGGGCGGTCGATGCTTCTGTCGCGCTGAGTGGTGTCCAGCCGCCTGGTTGTGAACTCGTTATTGAAGGTGGAGCAATCGTTCGAACTATCGTCCTAGTTCAGGCGGGGACGATGTCCCGCACACTTCGTTCATCCATTATGCTGGTATCTTTCCGCTAAACTAGTGTCTTCATAGCTTCATTTCTGGACGGTACCACACGAGACCGTTGTCCGGCTCCCCGGCGCCGCTGCGCCACCACTCGCAGCCGCGCCACCGCTCGCCCCCGACCGTCGCTCGCGCCGCCGACAGGGCGCTGGACCACCCGGTGCGGCGGCTGTCCGACCTGACCGGCCTGCTGCGCGCGCTGACGGCGTACCAGGACGCCCTGCTGCGCGCGCCGGACGTGACGCTGCGCGTGCCGCTCGCGCCGGCCGCCTGGCAGGCGTGGGAGGCGGCGGCGGCGACGCTGCGCCGGTTGCGGCCCGGCGCCGGCGCCGAGACGGACGTGTTCGTCATCCTGCTGGCGCATCTCAGCCAGCAGCTGTTCGGCGCCGACTGTGACGCCGCTGTGGAGGCTCTGCAGGTGGGCGGAGGGGGGGGGGGGCTGGCCCGGAGGTCACGTGGGGGGAGCGGTGCTGTCGTGCTGGTAGTTTTGGGTGTTGTGTAGTGGGTTTAATCCCGGGTGCTCTGATGGCTCTGATCTGGGCCCAATGAGCCCTTGGTACTGCCGTGGCCTCCGTTAGCTGCATGGCGCGTGACTGATGCCTTGCCCGTCCACCATCACCGCTACAGGATGTGGCATCTACCCGCCCCATGGACCTGCTGCTCTCTGGACCTGTGCGATGCTATCATTTCGACGTTTTTGCGCTCTTAGAAGCGTACGTTTGCCCTCTGCTGGGGTGCGAAATTTATCAGTTAAACTCATCGTAAATGTGGTGCGTTATTTAAATTATGCAACGGAATTAGCAGCATTTGCGTCGGATAGAAAACTGTAGCTACTGGAAACTTCAAACGATGCCCGTTGAGCTGTCTTTGAATGTATGGCTTCGGTATGAATCGTATGATTGTTCCCGCCGTCTGTGCAAGAAGCACATCACGCCGCCCGTGCCAGCCGAGGTGACGGGGCGGCTGTGCTGACGCCGGCGCCGGCGCGTCGCCGCCGCAGGAGCTGCACGCCTGCCTGCAGCGGCAGCAGGGCCGACGGCCGACGGCCGACGGCGGCGACGAGCCCGACTGGAGCGAGGTGGTGGCCGACCTGCTGCTCTCGCTGCTCTCACTCAGCGTGCACCTGCTGCGCAGCGTGGTTCGCGCCGTGTTCGGCCTGCTGGCGCCGGCGCTGTCGCGGCCCGCCGTGCTGCACGTGTTCCAGGTGCGGGGCGCGCACCGTCGGCGCCGGCGCACGCCGCGGCGGGTGCCGGCGTGCTGTCGTGGGAGGCGGCAGTGCAAGGCTGGGGCGCGCGTGCGCACAGAGGCACGGCCGCTGGTGGAGGACGTTCTCGAGTTTGGTCCAAGCATGAGTGGCGTGGGTATGGTTAGGATCAGTCGGACCTGAAGACAGCCGGTATGTCTGCATGACGCCCGGTGGGGCTGGCGGTCACGCTCCGGCGTTTACTATTGGTTCAGTTGTACCCACTTCATTCTCCAAACAACGTCAGTTTTTCGAGATGCCAGGCAGAGTCGTGACGTAGCCGCCCGTGCCAAGTGTTGCTCTTGTCCTCCTTGTCGAGCAATCTCGACCGCTTAGGAAGAAATCAACCTCACTTGGCTGATGTGCCACGGAATCACTGCATCTGGTACTCGCTGCGAGGGGAAGCCTGTTGCTGGATCTGTTATTGTACTTTCGTGTCAATTGATCTGAAAAGGATGCACGTTGTACAATATTAAGACCATGCTGAGTATGCCGGTAGCAGGAATGCCTTAGCCTACTGAGTACGTGCGTCAGCGATCAGGCTCAGTTCGATCCGCTGGGACGTGTCTAAGTTTGCCATTGTGTTGGACTGCCAAGTGTTCACTCCGTTTTGTGAGGTAACATCGCTTTTCGTTGCTTTTCAGTGCCTGGACCCGCAGTATAGCATGAATGGTGGGAGGGGCCATGCTGTCGAAAATGACGGAAGTGAGCAGGAAGATAGCGACGAAGACCTGGAGGCTGAGGATTCCGAGGGAGGCGAGGAGGAGGAAGAGGATGAAGACGACAGTGACGTTGAGGACGGAGAGGAGGATGGCGAAGCGCAAGACGAACTGGACGCCATGCGGGCCAAAGTCAAAGCGGCGCTGGGGGATGACTCGGACGACGCTGTAAGCACGGACGCGGGGGGCCCAGCCCATGTGCTGTCGTCCGTACGCACCGGTGTAAGTACGGACGCGCGGGGCCCAGCCCGTGTCCTGTCGTCCGTACGCACCGGTGTAAGTACGGACGCGGGGGGCCCAGCCCATGTGCTGTCGTCCGTACGCCCCGGTGTAAGCACGGACGCGCGGCGCCCAGCCCGTGTCCTGTCGTCCGTACGCACCGGTGTAAGTACGGACGCGGGGGGCCCAGCCCATGTGCTGTCGTCCGTACGCACCGGTGTAAGCACGGACGCGCGGGGCCCAGCCCGTGTCCTGTCGTCCGTACGCCCCGGTGTAAGCACGGACGCGCGAGGCCCAGCCCATGTGCTGTCGTCCGTACGCACCGGTGTAAGCACGGACGCGCGGGGCCCAGCCCATGTGCTGTCGTCCGTACGCACCGGTGTAAGCACGGACGCGCGGGGCCCAGCCCGTGTCCTGTCGTCCGTACGCCCCGGTGTAAGCACGGACGCGCGGGGCCCAGCCCGTGTCCTGTCGTCCGTACGCACCGGTGTAAGCACGGACGCGGGGCCCAGCCCATGTGCTGTCGTCCGTACGCACCGGTGTAAGCACGGACGCGGGGCCCAGCCCGTGTCCTGTCGTCCGTACGCCCCGGTGTGAGCACGGACGCGCGGGGCCCAGCCCATGTGCTGTCGTCCGTACGCACCGGTGTAAGCACGGACGCGCGGGGCCCAGCCCATGTGCTGTCGTCCGTACGCACCGGTGTAAGCACGGACGCGCGGGGCCCAGCCCGTGTGCTGTCGTCCGTACGCACCGGTGTAAGCACGGACGCGGGGCCCAGCCCGTGTGCTGTCGTCCGTACGCACCGGTGTAAGCACGGACGCGGGGCCCAGCCCATGTGCTGTCGTCCGTACGCACCGGTGTAAGCACGGACGCGGGGCCCAGCCCATGTGCTGTCGTCCGTACGCACCGGTGTAAGCACGGACGCGCGGGGCCCAGCCCATGTGCTGTCGTCCGTACGCACCGGTGTAAGCACGGACGCGCGGGGCCCAGCCCGTTTCCTGTCGTCCGTACGCGCCGGTGCACACCCACCAGTCACGGCCACCAGCTGTTCCCATATGTGTGGTCAGGCGCGGCCCCCTTTGTCCGCGATGTTACACGAGAGTGGGCATGCTGGCAACTCAGAACCGTGTTACCTTGTTTTCGAACAGGTGACTAGGCTGCGTTGCATGTATCTACGCAGGCACCAACAGAGACTGCCACTGGCAGTATAGCCGGTGCTCGCGTCACTCCATCGGGCTTCGAGCCAGCCCCGGTCCTTTACTTCGTCAGGTGTCGCTCACTCTGCGTGTGACTGCCCCCTCCCCCTACCTCTGGCGTGGTGAATGATCTCCCACCCTGTGGCCAACTCCCCCCCCCCCCCCTCCCGGGCAGGTTTCGATCGATATGGACGATGTGCCCGAGGAGCACTTCGCCAAGATGGACGAGGCGCTGGCGGCGGCGTTCCGTGCCATGCGTAAGGACAAGCGCATGAAGCGGGGCGGCCGCCAGACAGACGAGGAGCAGGCGCTCATGCACTTCAGGATCAGGTGGGACGCGGGACGGCCGGGTCAGGGTCAGGTGGGACGCGGGGACGGCCGGGTCAGGATCAGGTGGGACGCGGGGACGGCCGGGTCAAGGTCAGGTGGGACGCGGGACGGCCGGGTCAGGATCAGGTGGGACGCGGGACGGCCGGGTCAGGGTCAGGTGGGACGCGGGGACGGCCGGGTCAGGGTCAGGTGGGATGCGGGACGGCCGGGTGAGGGTCAGGTGGGACGCGGGACGGCCGGGTGAGGGTCAGGTGGGACGCGGGACGGCCGGGTCAGAGTCAGGTGGGACGCGGGGACGGCCAGAACAGGGTCAGGTGGGACACGGGGACGGCCGGGACAGGGTGAGGTGGGACGCCAGTTAGGTGCGGGGCGGGCGTGACGCACTGCATGGCGGAGGAGATGTCGAGTGACAGAGATGCGGGGAGCGGTTCTCAAGAGTGGTGAGCCTGTGATGCACAGTTTGGTTTTGTTGGACTGCTGAGCACTGCGAGAGCCGTTTATCGCTGGCTATGACCCAGGCTGATGGTCTGTTCACTCACCTCTGTCAACACGAGCATGGCGGTTTTGTACAGCCGCTGGTGAGATATTTGTACCGCGTAGTCGGGATGCGTGCGTTAATCGTGCAAATTTACTCGCTCCGCTTAAAGCCGCGCCTAGTTTTACAGAGTTTCCATCCTCCCACACATGGCTGGGGACATGTATGCGTGTGGTGGTGGCGCGCGTTGCCGCCTGCGAGCCCGCCCCGCTGCCGCTGACAGTGCCGTCCGTCCGCCGGCGTCGCCGCCGCCGGCAGGGTGCTGGACCTGGCCGACGTGTACGTGCGTACGTGTCCGCGCTCGCTGGCGGCGCTGGACCTGCTCCCGCCGCTGGTGGCGCTGCTGGCCGCCACGGCCGCCGACCGGCGCCAGGCGCCGCTGGTGGCCCGCCTGCGCGCCTGCCTGGGTCGCCTGACGGCCGGCGCCGGCCGCCTGCCCGACGGCCACCAGCTGACGGCGCCGCTGCTGGCCGAGCTGCTGGAGGTGGTGCTGCGCAGCGGCGGGCGGTGTGAGTACAGCTCCGCAGGGACGGAAGCGGAGGCGCGGTGATGATGACACGGGATGGGGAGCATGGGACTGGCAGCGGGGTGGTGAGGGCGAGACAAACAATTAGTGGCCTGCGCCCTTCTTGGTGATCTGGTTTTGTCGTCAGCTTCTTTCTCATTGGATCCTCGCATTCATATAGGCTGGCTCAATGGGTCTGTGAGGCGACTTCTCGGCTTTGTCACCGGCGGTTTTTGTCTAGATATGTCGTTAATGCATACAAGCCGGCTCAATACGTGTGCTGTAAGTTGGAGTGCCGGTAATTCCTTGTCTTGAAAGACGCACCCTGGATTTTTAACGAGGTTTTATCCCCGCTGTCTTGTTTTTTTTTTGGGGGGGAGGGCAAAATGACCACTGATCCATGCGCAGTCTAAAGCACCAGTTATGTGTTGATCGTGGCCTGCAGTGTTCACCATGGCCTTTACCCCGTTATGTCATTGCTCGCCATCCCACCGCCATTCCACCTCCATTTCGTCGCCCTCCCCCCGCACGACGAAAGCGCGGCGACATCGCACTCGGCCCGATGCCGCACGCGGCAGATCACGCCGGCCGTGGCGAGCGTTTGCCGCACGTCACGAGCGCTGCCGCGCCGCCGCCGGCAGTGCCGGCGCTGAGTCTGGAGCTGGGCGGCCTGCTCTCGGCGGCCGTGCGGTTCCTGGTGCGAACCAGCGCCCAGCTGGAGGACGACCAGGCGCCCGTCACCGACGCGCTTCTCGCCGCGCTCGACGCCTTCTTCACCGACCGGTGAGGCCTGCTGCCGGGCTCTGGCGGCCGGCGCTCAGGCTGGCGGTGGTCACGGTGTCATGGGCAGCGCATCCAGGCGGTCAGAGGGTAGGGAAGCAGAGGCAGCTGAGCATGACTGGGAATGGGCCCGCTAGGAGTGTGGCCTGTGAGATCAGCGCCGCCTCATTAGGCGGCTCTCAGTGAGGCGCCGCCCTTGTGGGACTCCCGCGCTGGACACGAGGCGGCGCTGGCGTGGGATCTTCAGTGCGGTGCTTATGGTTATGACGTGCGATGTGTCAAATGAAATACTCTTCGTGGTTGTGAGGTGACCAGCCCGTGAGAGAGGGCGGCTCTCCGACGGCGGGAGCTTTCCCGTCAACGTCTTATTCACATGGGACGTGTGTAAATTTTTGCGGGTGTCTGGTTCGTGTACATATCGGCGTCGTTGAGGATGCGTTGCTTCCTTCGCTAGCTCCTTCCTTGGAAGTAACTCTTATCCCGAAGATGTCGCCACTGGCTTGTCCACGTAAATTATCACTCAGCTACCCTCCGAAGAGGCATTCATTCAGTTACCTGTCCGGTCGGCCAGGTGCGTGGACAGAAGACAATCTTTCCTCGGTAATGGCTCATGGACCCAACCCTGCCGTCCGCGCCCGGCGGCAAATTTCTGAGGGTAGTAATCTGTGGTGCGAACGCTGCTGACATCTCTTGGAGGCCTCGTGAACTACGAAAATGTGTACTCATCAAAAGAGCAATCACCGGTTGTTGTTGCCAGGCGCTTGGCAGGTATGGTATCAAAAAAGGCCTCTGAACAGGTCTGTTGACTCCGTTTTTTCGGATGTGATGCTCAACAATGCATCAATATGCGATGCGGTGCCGCAATCGTAACATCCCGGAACGTGCAAGAAAAATTTGAAGCCAACAAAATTATTAGTCCGTTCATACCAAGCTGCAATTTGGCATCTTGTGGATCGTCAATGTGAATGATAAATGCTGTATTCTGTGGTCTCTGCGTTGCTTGTCTAGCAGGACCTGCGCATTATTTGGCTATACGCAAGCTGTAATGAAATGGAATTTCATTCAGCAACAAAGGCATGGTAGTTTCTGTGTTCGGACCTCTGTGTCAAAATTTGGTGGAGATCCGGTTGTTGTGTCCGGACTTGCCCAACTTGCATTTACCTTCCATTCACAAACCGTCACACATGCCATACCAACATACCTTCCGTTGGCTTTTCTTTATCACGGCACCATTAAGGAAAATTCGAGGCCGTGTAAAGCACTAAATGGCCTTTTTGTAATTGGTGGCATATTTGAGCTTCTTTGACTGAAAGAATTGTTCGAAGATATGCAACATTGCATTACCCAAAGCTGTGGAGCTGTTTTGTTGTTTTGTTTTACTGTCCCTGCTCTTGGTAATGAGCCATGTCGATGTGCAACGATTTTGACCATGGCATGTCTGTGAGAATGAATGAACTATTCAGTGGCAAAAAGTTGTTGACAAAAGGCCTGAAGAAGCTGGGGCGCTCCCTAAAAGCCTGACCACCAATCACATGTTGCCGGGTTGTGGTACATCTGTGCTGTTGTAGCCCCGCCACCGTCAGCGCAGGGTTCATGTGAACCTGAGCGAACATGACCAATTCGGTGCCTGTTGGCGCCAACTCCCGCGCGCTGCTGCGCTCAGTTGTCGATGTCTTCCCATCCAGACCGGGCAGGTGAGCCCTGTTAGGGTGGGCGCCTCCCGCGCGCCGTGACCCCGCCCCACCGTACCTTGTTCCGCCCTACAGACAGTGACCTAGGGTGGGCGCGTCTTGCGTGCCGTGACCCCGCCCCACCGTACCTTGTTCCGCCCGGCAGACAGTGACCTAGGGTGGGCGCCTCCCGCGCGCCGTGACCCCGTCCCACCGTACCCTGTTTCGCCCGGCAGACAGTGACCTAGAATGGGCGCCTCCCGCGCGCCGTGACCCCGCCCCACCGTACCCTGTTCCGCCGGGCAGACAGTGACCTAGGGTGGGCACCTCCCGCGCGCCGTGACCCCGCCCCACCGTACCCTGTTCCGCCGGGCAGACAGTGACCTAGGGTGGGCACCTCCCGCGCGCTGTGACCCTGCCCCACCGTACCCTGTTCCGCCGGGCAGACAGTGACCTAGGGTGGGCGCCTCCCGCGCACCGTGACCCCGCCCCACCGTACCTTGTTCCGCCCGGCAGACAGTGACCTAGAATGGGCGCCTCCCGCGCGCCGTGACCCCGCCCCACCGTACCCTGTTCCGCCCGGCAGACAGTGACCTAGGGTGGGCGCCTCCCGCGCGCCGTGACCCCGCCCCACCGTACCCTGTTTCGCCCGGCAGACAGTGACCTAGGGTGGGCGCCTCCCGCGCGCCGTGACCCCGCCCCACCGTAACCTATTCCGCCCGGCAGACAGTGACCTAGGGTGGGCGCCTCCCGCGCGCCCAGACCTCGCGCCGCCGTACTCTGTTCCTCCCGGGTGACAGTGACCGCTGCCCGTCCGCAGCGAGTGCGTGTACCCCACGCGGCTGTTCAGCCAGCTGCTGGCGCTGCCCGGCTGGCCTCGTGGCTGGCGCCTGCTGCCCCGCCTGCTGGACGCCGCCTTCAACGAGCAGGTGCGCCTGTACCGGCGCACGCAAGCGCTGCTCCTGCTGACGGCCGCCTTCAAGAACGGTGCGCTGATGAAGCAGGTGCCGGCAGAGGACGTGCGCAGCGTGGCGGCGCTGTTCTGGCGCCGCCTGGAGCAGGTGAGCGCCGCCGGCCGGCTGCCGGAGCGGGGGGCGGCTGGCTGGGAGCAGCTCGCCGGCTCGAGATTGGACGGCCGCGTTTGGTGGTGCAAGTGAGGGCAATGGGTGACAGCTGACATTTGGTGGTGGGGAGGGTGCTGGCACATATCTCCCTTCTTGGCTCCAAACTTGTGACTGGGTGAGGTGAAATCGCGTGTTCTCCATTTTGCGTCTGCGGTTTTTTTGGCGATCCTGCTCCATTATATGTTTCGTATGTGGTACTAGATTCAAGTTACGACGGGCGGACCACTTGCTGGGATTATCGTCCTAGTGCGGTGGACTAGTGTGCGCACAACTGCTCAATGTGTGATGCTGATACCTGGTCCCCCCCCCCCCCCCCACCCCGTTTGAATCAAGTCATTGGGCCCATCTGGGATTTGCCACCCGCGCGCACTGTCGCATCCTAACGGACGAATCATGGTGAAAACGGGCACCCTTCCTACCGCTCAAAGGTGCCCTTGCTATTCAGCACTGAATGTTACATTGCGCAACCAAGTCAGGAAAGCGACTTCCCCTCCTTTTCAATCAAGGTGCGTTCCAAGAGGCTTGCCATTTTGGGGAGCTAAGGAGAGGCAGAGCGAGTGCCGCGGATCTTTAAGCGTGCTTTTGTTTAGCACTCCCTGGCGCAATGAAGGCGTCCGTGGAGAAGGCGTGAAGACGGTGGCGTCCGTGCTGCTGATGGCCGATCGTGGGCTGCAAAGCCAGCCTTTGGAGCTGAGGCTTGTACCTCTGGATCGGTAAGACGGCAGGATCGCTGCCATGTCTGGTCCGTGTTTGTGTCCGCCTCCTGCAGGGATCGGGAATGTCAAGTGCCTTTGGCCGACTCCTCTCCTCTCTCCGAGCTGGGAGTCAGTCCTGAGTGTCGTCCTGCAGTGAGCCGGCTCGTGGGCACTTTTCCGTCAAGCGGCCTTCACTTTCACGGCTCCGTACCCGCCCTCCCCTCCCCATCTCCGACTTTTTGGCTGACCGCTCGTCCTCATTGTCTCGCCGTACCCATAAAATTCCACAGCTCTCCGTTACCTCCCCTCCAGCGCCTCCCCCCTCTGGCGCCTCCCTTATCCCCGCGCCGCCGTTGTCCTACTCCAGCCCCCTCCCCCAGCCCGCACCGACCTCACCCTTTCTCCCACCCCTCGCTGACCCCGCCCGTCCCTCGCCCACAGGTGTTGGCGGGCGTGTCCGCCGGTGACGGCGTTAAGACCAAGTACCTGAGCTCGGCGCTAGAGGCGCTGCTGTCGCTGCGGCGCACCGGCGCCCGGCTCGGGCTCGCCCTGGAGCCGGCCGCTGCCCAGGTGGACGCCGCCGTTCAGGGGTTCGCGGCGCGCGTGCCGCTCGGCCGGCCCCTGCGGCGGCTCACGGCCCAGTTCGGCTCGCGCAGGTCCGTATGGCCGGCCGAGGGGACGCCTGCGTGAGAAAGCGGGCTGTCGGCACTCTGGGAAAAACCGTCCGAAGATGGACCACTCCGGGTGGAAAACAGTACTGAATAGAACTACGTGGCACTGTGCGTTTGTGAGCGTTGTGACTGACATGCGTGTATTTCTCCTATGGTGTGCATTTTTATATACATAGTTAATGCTTAGTTGACAGAAAGTACAGTCATATACAATGTATCGTCTGGGCCGCCAGAGGGAAGTGTGCCTACATGGTGACATGCTGGGAGGTCGGTGAGAAGCAGAGGCTGCCTTGATCACGTCCGCCAGGTTTGGGCGGGTGTGGGCGCTTTGCGCGTGTCAGCGCGCCCAAGCCAGCCCTGTGTCGGCCCGAGCGGAGCCTGCCGCGGCTTCCGAGCTGCCACAGCCCTTGCGGCTGGGGAAGGAGAGGGGGGGGGGGGCTGCAGTAACTCAGCGGCAGACAAACTGGTTGCCGGCGTCGGTGTCGGCCAAGGCAGCGGATCAGGATTGATGACACATTGTCGGCGGCGTGTGCCGGCGGTCGGAGGGGCCCACGGCTCCTCGGCTTGCTCGCGTCGGCAGGCCTCCTCTGCTCAGCGCGTGGTCCTGTGGCGTGACTGGTGGATTGTCGGCAGGCTGCCTGCTCCCGCTCTGGACGGCGCCGCCGGGCTGGCGACACGCGGCTGCCCGGGAGGCTGTTTGGTGCGCGCTTCGAGACCTGCCCGTGTGGCTCGACGCTCGCTGCGGCTGGTGGTACTGGCGCTCCTCACAGGCCCTGTCCCTTCCGCAGATCCGGAGCCGAGAGTGGTCACGAGGCGCAGCGACAGAAGAAGGAGAAAGACAAACAGCCGGCGGCGGCCCCGCCCTCGCCGGCCGAGCCGGTCCGGAAGAAGCGTGACGGGCGCGCCGGGCCGCCGGACGCGGCGCCCAAGCTGGCCGAGGCCGAGCGCGACGGCAGCGTTGACAGCGGCGTGGCCGAGGTCGCCAGTGACACGGACGCGCCGCCCGCCGCCCGCCGGCCACGCAAGAAGGCCAAGCGGCGGCCCGACAGCGGTCCGAACGCGAAGAAGCTCAGACTGTAGCCGGCGGGGTGGGCGTTTGCGCGGGTGAATACAAGGGGTCGGAGCGGGTGGAGTTGTGTCTTGGGCGGGAGAGGGCCGCCGCCCCCCCCCCCCCTGCCGGCGCTGCGGCCTCACCGAGGCGGCTGGAAGGCGGCACTTCTGGCGCTCTTGCGCGCCGCCGCGGTGACTGCCGGCGGCCGGGGTCGTCCCGGGATCGCGAACAGCGGCACGGGGGCGCCGCTGTTCGCGAGACGGGCTGCCGTTCGTATGCTCCGCCGGAGGCCGCGGAGGCTCTGATCCACACGTAACACACCGGGTCTGATCAGCATGTAACACACCGGATCTGATCGGCACGTAGCACACCGGATCTGATCGGCACGTAGCACACCGGATCTGATCGGCACGTAACACGTCAGATCTGATCGGCACGTAACACACCGGATCTGGTCGGCGTGTAACACACCGGATGTAATCGGCACGTAACACACCGGGTCTGATCGGGACGTAACACACCGGATCTGACCGCCACGTAACACCCCGGATCTGATCGGCGCGTAACACACCGGATCTGATCGGCGCGTAACACACCGGATCTGATCGGCACGTAACACACCGGATCTGATCGGCACGTAACACACCGGATCTGATCGGCGCGTAACACACCGGATCTGATCGGCACGTAACACACCGGATCTGATCGCCACGTAACACACCGGATCTGATCGGCGCGTAACACACCGGATCTGATCGGCACGTAACACACCGGATCTGATCGATACGTGGGTCAGGTCAACCCGCACAGAAGTTCGGACGGCGCCGAGTTTCTCTCGCCAAGCGTGCGATTCGGCGAACCGGCTGCTGACGGCGGGCGCTGGTTGCCGGGCTGGGAGCGACTGCATCACTCTGTAGCGCAGTGCGGAGCGCGCGGGCAGCTGACGGGTTCAGCCGCTACCAGGCCGGTACCGGCCGAGCGACCGCCGGCGCTGCCAGGTCAGCAGCTGCCGGCCGTATTCGGTCAGGCTGGTCGACGGGGCGGGCATGGCTTGCCACCGGCTGACAGGAGGTGGCGGCGCACGCTGACCAGCCGGCCCCACGGGTGCACGGCGGTGCTGGGGCCCAGTACCGGTTCATTGGCGGGCTGATCCGATGGTGAGCCGCGCGGATCACGTAACGGGTCATCGGAGCGGTCCGCTTCCCGGGGCGCGGAGGGGTTCAGTAAGGCCGCTCGGCGATGGCGGTCCGTGGGGAGGGCGACAGCGGCACGTTGGCTGCGCTGCACGGGCCCAATGTCTCTCGCCAGGACATGTCGGCGACTCGACTGGCGTAGGTTGGCCGGGACCGAAGAGAAGGATCCGGAAGCGCAAGCTCATACGGCAGTCGCCGCAGTCAAAGCATAGCGAGAAGTGACTCTGGACTGGTTTGTGTAAACACTTGGAAGCTAGAGGACTGGTGTGGCTCGGGAATGATAGACAGATGATCGGCTGTCAACACTGTGATTACATTCGGACAGGATTAAGATCAGGTACATTTTCCGTTTGGAGGAACACAGCCGTCCCTCGCCCTCGCTGACGGTGAGGCTGCGCAGATACTCGGCAGAGCGCAGAAGCGGACTTCGGGTCAGCCCAGCGTCGTCCCAGCGCGGCCGCTGGCCGGCTTCTCTCGGAGCCGGTTCAGCCGGACCTGTCGCGGAGAGAGAAGGATCGCTCTGCCCGGCGCTGGGTCGTTCCGCCGCCGTATCCAATGACAGCCGCCCGGTACGCAGGGCGGCGGGTAACGCACCAACCCGTAAACAACATTCCAGAGATGCGCTACACGGAGTCCGACCTGCATCGCCGTTGAGATGTAATCAAGCCGGCAGGCTCCAGCTGCTAAAAGCGATTATATATATATATATATATATATATATATATATATATAATAACCCGCCTTGTCTAGGTCACAAGACTGGCGTCACGAGAAGTGATGGAGCAAGCGTCACGATTTCGGCATGACTGTCACCTGAAGCCGGGCCCACATTATTTCGTGTATTTATTGTTCTTGTAATGAGCTGACATGGGGCTGCGTCCGCCTGTTGGCACCTATTGATTGAGAGAAAGGAGTTCGGGCGCTACCAATTCGTCTCAAGAAATGTGTTGCGTTCAGTGGCTTGTTTGTTTATTCCTAAACGGATTACATGCGTCATGTGCGGATTAGAGAAGAGCGGTTGCAGGGCGATTTCGCTGTCTGTGGTTCCGTTCTTGTCATACGTTCAGCGGCGTCACGCGTAAAGGCAGAGTTCGTTTACAGGTCCACCTAACGGCAACTGGAGCATAGCATTACCTCACGACGCTGAAACGACTGTCTGAGTGCGAATATGCCAATTCAAGATACGCAGTCAACACAACGTCCGCGTATCCTTGATCAATATCTAACAATACTTGTACTTCTGCTTACATATTTCGCATGTGAAGTCTTGTCTACTCGTGTTGTCAGAGATTAAGTGTAAAGCAGACATGAGTGGACATCGTCATCTGCTATAAAACGTACCTCCAGCTGTTAAAGTCACCCTGGCTCGATCAGTCGCTCAGAATCGACGATCGCGGGGCATGCCCCACATCATGTCACCGGCGCCAGTTTCTCCTCTCCGCGTCAGCGCCGCCCCCCGCCACCGGCCGGGCCGCGGCCGGGCGCTGGCAGAGTGCTGGCCTTTTGTCGGGCGCGCGGCGCCGGCGCGCCTCATTAGGCGGCTAATTTGGCCTGATCGGATCCCGCTCACCTGTTATCGGCCCATTTCGGGCCGCGAAAGAGAACCGGCCACCGCCGGGCCTGGCGGCGGCCGGGCTAGCGACGGCGTCGTCTGGCGACAGCCCAGGTGGAGGCGGAGGCCCCGCCACCTCCGTCACTCCTTTGTCCCCGGAGTGGCTCCATTCAGCCTTATCTGGCGCCGCTGATCAAGAACTATGTCGAACGACTGTTATCGCCTGACGTCCGCGCCTCAGTGGCGTGTGTGCAGTGTTTTCCAGCTGGGACACGAGCGCGCTGGCCCTGCCCTCCGGCCGCCCTCTCCAGTTGCCGCGGCCGTCCGTCGGGCTGGGACGCAGGGCGCGGAGTGCACCGCCTTCCCGCCGGTCCCGGGCGGGCCGCCGGTCGGTGTCAGGCCGGATGGGCGCGGCGAGTTACTGCCGCCGCTGCGCCACCCAGCGCGAGCAGGGACAGCTTGTCCCCCTCCCCTCCCCCCCCCCCCTCCCCAGAGGCGGGCGCTTCCCGCGGCCGCTCATGGGGAGTTCTGGGAAGGCTTCCACTTCAAACGTGTGGGGTCAGGGGAGTGAGGGGATGGAGGAGGGCCGCAAGGCCGGGGTCGAGGAGCCTATAAAGACGTGATTGCGTCTGGCGTGCTGCCAAGGCGTTGGAAGGGGTTGGATTACTGCAATTCAAATCACAGGCCATTGTACTGTGTTTAGTGTGTTGTATTAAGCAATTTGTCATGGGTTCGAGAAAAAAAGAGGCAAAAATGCTGACCCTGAAAGCAGTACGATTGTTGAGTAATAAAGGCTTAGATTTAGACACACACATCAAACAAAAAGCGGTACAGATATACACCCGGACCATCCTACCTACACATACTCGCACACGCCTGACACCTGCCTGAACATGGTTACACATAGCTAACGGCCATCACAGAAACCAGCAGGTTTTGTCAGCGAGGCTGTGTAGCTATCATACTTAGCTTAGTAGGCGCGTGGGGACGTCCCAGAAAGCGGTAGAGCCAAATCACTTCCTCACTTTGATTTTTGTCATGCATCACCTCACGGTTGATGTTAAGCTTTGGCAGATAGTGGGGGAGTCATGACCTCCCCCCCCCCCTCCCTCCCCTCACCATTTTGTACGCCTGTGGACTATTCAGCTCTATGCCATTCTGTTTTGATGAACGGAAACCTACCACCGTGGAAGGACAACAATACAAGGCAATTCAATGCGGCCTGAGTTGCAGTGAAGGGGTTTTCTTGGACTCCACGTTTTCGGCTGCCTTCGTACACCGTTACATTATCAAGAGATCACCTGATAGGCACGACAAGGCGTCAGACGAAAAACAGAAGGCGATGCTTACCTTGGTGTGTGTACTGCATGCAGAGCATGCATGTTTGGTATATATAGCACCTGTTTCCCCGAATAATAACAATGGTGTCTGTCAGACAGTATTAGGCATCATGGCCTGACGTGCAGCGTTGATGGCAAAAAGTAATCACGAAAAGTTAACAGCACTACCTGCTTCAAGGCAGCCTGCACATTTTTCCGCACAGTCTGAATACACGATTACTCTCAGAGCGCTGGCCTGATTTCGACCCAGACCGGGATCATCACAACACAGCGCTAAGTAAACCCCGATTTGGACTCAAGGAAACATGGCAAATCGCCGGACCGCTTCACATGAAATCGGCTGCGGTGACATCAGTGAAGGGGATAGGCCCTTCTATAAGATGTATGCACAACGGTCTGCCTGAGGCATATCTTCATATATTAAACAAAGATATGCCCAGTGTTCAGTTCCGTGCACATATAAGATTTTATGGAATAAGAGCATTTGCTAGTTTTGCATCTCAATTCGGCTCGACTAATCGAGGATTCCAATCAATAACGTTGACGCAACTCCTGTTCCGAATCGCCAATTTTGAGGTAAATGGAACCCACCTTGGTTTGGCGAATCCGCTGATTCCGGTCTCGACTCCACCCCTTGTGTTAGAATCCTATCAGCCTCCAGCTAATGGAAAGGGGCAACTTTGGCAGACGTTACACGAACGACCTCCAACGAATACGTGGGACTAAGTATCACTGTGTGTATTGCCAGAATACACACCCGGGCCAACCAAAACACTAAATAAGCAATTCATATTCATTAAATTTGAACAAGCTGCCAGGCCACTAAATGCCTTCGTTTCAAGCATGGCGGATATTGTTGCCAGCTGCTGGCCAGCGGGCTTAAATAACGCCACTTTAAACGGCACAACAAAGCCATCGAATGCATCGCGGCGAGGTTTTAACGCTTTTGACGGGCGACGATGCTCGGGTAAGCGTCGGAGCGCAAGCTGCTTACCATAGATTAGAAGGTTTTGGATCAGGTTATCAAGTCGAAGCAGAACTGTGAGCTTCAAGCGATTAGTGATATAAGGAATTTAGTCTGGAAGCCTGCGAGTAAATACATTGGTCGCAGGTTGATATAACTTGTCCATCATGTTGTTGAAGTAAGCATGCTCTTTGTTTGCATTGGGTGAGAGGTCCGTTGAAAATTGTCCTCAAAAATGGCTATTGAAATGAAAATTTTATCCATGCGGGACAGAACTGCAAAAAATGGGAAAGCGTGTTTGTTTCAACAGGGCGCAAACTACCTTCCGGCTTTAGCCGCACCCGCTTCATCTGGTAACGCCGGAGTGTTACTGCATTTCGTGTGCATTTCTGCTTGAGGTGTGACATGTCCCTTTCCAAGGGTTACGATTACAGAACGGGATTTCCTCATGCATTTTTCATGGAACGAGGCTCTGATAGGCAGAGATAAGACAGTTTTTCACGTATTTCAACCAATTCTCCGTGGGTCCGATCTCTTCAATGGATGGTTGTCTTACAAAATGCCATCAGCAGAATACTGCGACGCGGTCGTGTCCTTGTTATGTTATGCAACAATAGATCACCTAGTACCAACGTGACATGGCTGTGAAACAGATAATACAAAGCCGATGTCATGCTAGCAAGATGGTACCAGGTGCGCGATTATGCGAATAATGAACACGCATTTTGCAGCCCATTGCATTATTCCGCCATTACTCTCCATCGGTGATTGCGGTTTTCAACAAGTCCATTCGCTTGGATCAAGTGCAAACAATCGGCTGCGGTCGCAAGATCCATGCGTGAATCGTCCAAAGTCCGCGCTCACGGCCCCAGTCACCTGTTTACGATGTTAGCATTTGGGCTGCATCAATAATGCATGAGACCGCAAACGACGCGGTCGTTTTCAGCGGCGCGCACAGAGCTGCCGCCTTCCTGCGCCCCGCTCTATCAACCCCCCCCCCCCCCTGACTGCTGCAACGGCGCCTTGGCCTGGCGCGTCTGTCTCCTTTGCACCCTTCCCCCGTGATTACCGGTCTATCTGGCTCCCCATTCGCGCTCTGCACAGCTGGGCGGGCGGTGGTCCAGCGGCCCGTTACGGCCGGGCGCCGCGGCGACCTCAGCGCCTCACACGGGCCTAACACCGGCCGGCCGGAGAGACTGCAGCTCGCCGTCGGCCGCGCCGCACAGTGTCTGGCCACGGCGTGTGACTGCTGACGTCGGCTCCGGCTCCGGTATTCTGGTGGACGGCTGCCGTCTCTGGCTCCTGACGTCGGCTGCGTGCTACGGTGCGCGGTTCCTCTCTGCGGGCTCCCTCGCCTACGCTCACCACCGGCTCCCTCGCCGACGCTCGCCGCCGGCTCCCTCGCCGACTCTCGCCACCGGCTCCCCGCCGCCGGCTCCTGTCGCCGGCTCCCGGCGGGGGTGTGCGCCCGATGAGTGAGCTCTCGCTCTGAGCAGACATCGCAGCTGTGTCGCCCTGACCTGTTCTGCCGGCGGCTTTGGAGCTGCTCCTTTGCAAGGTGAGTTCGTACCGCTGATCGCTGCAACCGTGGGAGGCCTGGTTCCTGGCTCATCCGTGTGGCTGGGGCTTTCTGATTTGTGGCATTTTGGTCTCTTGGTTTTGATTTAAAGGACAAATCTTTCTGAACTGTGTTTCTCCAACGCTGCCTTGTCATTATTTTTCTGCGATCCACCGAGACCAAGGTTATAGAAGATTAGCAAGATTATGACGCATGTATGCTTGCTGCAACCCCTTCCGCCTCTTAGCCAGATGGGCACGCCGTTCCCCGTCGCGATTGTCCTCAGCCGCCAACCCCCAACCGCCCCAGCTGTGCCGCAGAAATCAGCTGGCGCGCCGAGAGACGCCACTTAAGAGGCTGTGACGTCACAACGGCTATGCCGACGTTGAGCGCATACTAAGCGACGCTGGTGTCGGTCCAGCGCCGACTCCGGTCCCTTTGTCGTCCGGCGCTTCTTCCAATGGCGCAGAGCCGCACGTCCAAGGGTTATCGCGCTATCAATGTCGGCGCAAAACTGTTTTGTCCCTCGCTGTATTACATGAGCTACGACTAGTTCAGATATCGTTAGGCTAAGTTTCGGCTGCGTTTGAACTCCATTGATGCTTTGATTGGTGCTCTGCCAAATTCGAACCAAGATTAATGTCTTATCTGAGATGTTTAGGTGAAATGATAACTTTCATCGAAGCCGATGCGTATAGCGAGGCCTAATTTATCTTCCTAACACCTCAAAAAAGCTCCTCCGTACCAAATAGTCAACCTTAGCAGATGTTGAACCAGAATGCTTGGAAAAATCTCTTTGGTTTTGATATATATCTAAATACAGCCACACATAAATGCGAATGACCTGTCATGATTACCCAGCAATAATAAGCATGTTTGTGTTAACTACATATGCCGGCCCAAAACACTTATCTCAACGCGGTTCCTGCACCTAATTTGTTGTCTTCAAAGTCGAAATTTAAAGTTGAGCGGTTCTGAATATTTTCTGCTGATGTTGGAATTCCTCGAGAAATGACCGTTCACATGACGCGATCACGACCCAGAAGTTCAGATAAGTGGTGCAAATGGTGACGAATTAGCACTAATTCAACTGATTGACTCCAGCGTCCTGCTGCAATTATATCAACTGCACAACGCCTCAGGTATTTTCTTACGTTGTCTCATTTCACGTAGCCATCTACGTGTTTGGGCCCTTTTACGATATGCCAGTTTAAACGAAGGGTAGGAACCCAGCGTGCCTATAGCTGATTCAAGATCAACGGCATGTTGAACATCATGCAGAAAGCTTTTATTTCGAATGGGTAAAATTTCCTGACAAAAGAAAAAATAAGATGTAGTCCGCTGCACTGATATGTCTGTGAATATATGGGCTAATATATGGGCTATGGGCTAATATATGGGCTATGAATATGTGGGCTATGAATACATAGGTCTGTATCAATAGAACGAATACGTTACTTATCATTGTAATACAAATATTGTTTCTCGCCGACCTGAGAGAGTGGATAGCTCAGTATCAGACACGAGACATCACTCAGTAGTGTGTTTTTGCTCACTTTTGCTAGAAAATTCTTCAACCAACACATTTCCGGAAGTTCTGTCTAGAAGTAGTGAGCAATACAGTCTTAAAATAGACATTTGTCCCCCAACAGTTTCTGTTAGTGCTTTTCAAAAGGGATATATACCAAGTGCCTAACAGTCCTATCCAGTGCCCGAGCAATGTTATCGTGCGTCTGAGTGGTCAGTTCAATGTGCTAACCTCAGCTGTGTCGGGAGTCCATTGGCTCCCTGAGGCCTCAAGAACAAGAGAGACGCGCCAAGTTCACAGGTCAGGTAGGGTTCTTCCTTAGATCGTGACCTTTGGGTCTCGTAAGATTAAACAGGAAAAATCTTTAGATTTGTGTTCGAAGTGACCCCAGACTCCCTCACGCAGCCAGCTGTACTCTAGATATCTTTGCTAAGAAAAAGGTCACTGGCGTCCATGTCAGTTCGGTGATCAGAAGGTCAAGGTGATCAAAAGCATTCAATATTTTTTCTAATATTTGAATATCAAAACATCGTCAAGAACTACGTTAGGCATAATTTTCCCCGAAAGAAAAAGTTGCTCGGCGTCATCTTATGTCAGTAACTCCCATGACCGTTATGAAGTCAAAATGAGTTGTTTGTTGATGTTCTTGTTATCAGGGAATTCAAAATGAGTGCCAAAAGCTATCCATACAGCGAGCTGTCCCGTAATAAAGTGATTTGGATTTGACCATGACCTGGCTTTCAAAGCTGACCCAAAGTCGATGGGATTGGCTGCATTCCCAGTTTCAGCTGTCTTGCTGTATAAGAACCTCATCGAAGTTGTATGACTTCACGTAACACATCGTTGTCACATTAGATGAAGCGAATTCCTACGAATAACCTTCGCTGACAGCCATGAATTGACTTTGACCTGCCATAGGACAGCGATTTTACGAGGTATATCTATTTTTGCACCAGAAGGCCGGCTGACCGGCTTTCTCTCCCCTTGAGAGAGAAGGGAGAGAGAGAAAAAGAGAGAGAGAGAGAGAGAGAGAGAGAGAGAGAGAGAGAGAGAGAGAGAGAGAGAGAGAGAGAGAGAGAGAGAGAGAGAGAGAAAGAGAGAGAGAAGAGAGAGGAGAGAGAGAGAGAGAGAGAGAGAGAGAGAGAGAGAGAGAGAGAGAGAGAGAGAGAGAGAGAGAGAGAGAGAGAGAGAGAGAGAGAGAGAGAGAGAGAGAGAGGAGAGAGAGAGAGAGAGAGAGAGAGAGAGAGAGAAAGGCCACACCACATGATTACGGGTGTTTCAGAAATAGTTCGCTATTGTGTGGGGATAGCTTGTATCTAGTTATATTGATTCGTTTATAAACTAGGCATAAGCACATCATTACATTCCCAACGTGTGCTAAAAAAGTTGTCGCACTGGGAAAAAGTTGATTGTATTCAGTTTATCATACTATCTCAAATTAGGACGGTAATCTGTTTCATCGGTATCAATATGCAGATGGGACAAGCTGCCTACCCGGATGATCCATTCCTGTCAGGCTTCCATTCTGTGTGCGCCTCGCTGTAACAAAGTGCCCTGTCCCAGTTTCTTGCTGGTATTCACGCATCCCTGACGTATTGACGCTCGACGGTATCGAGGTCACCAGGTTTGCGCTCCACCGGCTCTCGACGGGTGTTCGATAATTAGATCGCTATAGGATGTGCAGCCCTCGTATCGTGACTAGAACATCTGCCTGTCCGCGCTCAGGCATGGGCGCCGACAGCAAACTGGAGCGACCGCACAGCCCGCAGTGGGCGGAAAGGCTGGCGGAGGAACGACGCGGAGCTGGGCGGTCACGGAGCGAGGGGCTGCTGGAGCTAAAACACAGGAAATTATTTCCAATTTTACGACCAGATTCTATATAGGTATTCATTATTAACGGCATTTCTTAGAGCACTGCAGCATCCCTGGAATGTCCACTTCACACCGTTAGCTGCAGACGAAGAACTGGCTTTTCTAAAGCTTCTAGAAAGTGTTTTACGGAAATACTAAACAGCCCTCACGACGAGGATCGACTGCAAAGTAAAATACGAGCGAGTCCAGCAATGCCCATTCCGGCGGTAAAAATCATAAACGGTGACATAAAAGCCAGCGAGCGGTGCCGAAGCCAGTAATCGGTCGCTCGGAGCTTGCCGTGGTCTTGACAGGTGCCGGAGCCGGCTTAGCCGCCGGCTGGAGTTCACCAAGTCCGGCGCTGGCGGCACCACGCCGGCTCGCGCTGCCGGCGTGGGAACCGTTTCCACGCCCTGATGAATGAAGTCAGACGTTGGCCGAGGTTTGTTGTGGTCTGCGCCCGTATGGTAATGCACGCTCCTCTCGGCCGATGTGTCTGCGTTCTGGAGGCCGTAAACGGATACGGAAAACGTTTGCAGAACGCTGGAGAGAGAGAGAGAGAGAGAGAGAGAGAGAGAGAGAGAGAGAGGAGAGAGAGAGAGAGAGAGAGAGAGAGAGAGAGAGAGAGAGAGAGAGAGAGAGAGAGAGAGAGAGAGAGAGAGAGAGCGAGAGAGGTACTTGTGTCAGGAAAATAGCTGAGGTCGTCTCTTCGCACTCGCGAGTAAACATTGAAAGTTCTCAATACCTGTGTGCTCGTTACCCTGGCTGCGACGGGATAAGGCGCGAAGGCGGCCGACAGCCCTAACTTATCAAACTAACATGAGTGTCTGTGCTCATTCAACCGGCTCTCCATTTCACCTGTGCGTAATGACGGTGATTACCGCATGAATAGATATGCCTGCACACCTGGCCTTGGGCCCATCGACAGAGAGCACGCGAACGTGATCCGCAATTAACCAACAGCTCCGGAACATTTGAAATATATGTTCATATCCACATATCCTCTTATCCTGTTTGGCATATGTTTTAATCGTTGCGCTTAAGGCAAAATTAATTCAGAGCTTTCACGTCAAGAAATAACTTTCAAACAATACCTTACTACTGACGCTCGTGTAATAACCAGTTTTCTAAGGTGTCGCTGTAATGGAGATTTTTTAACAAATCATTTAGCCTAGATCGTATCGCAAAGTACATGTCACATGGCTGTTATAAAAATCCTGAAACGTCAAAAAGGCATCTTTGGGGCACCAAAGCCGTCCATAATTATAGATTAGCCAAACAACACCTGCCTTTTTTCGCGCGATCTCTCTCGCAAGCGTGGGAACAACTTAACGACACAAAAGCCTTCCGTGAATCATCTCCGAATGGCCGCCCCCGTGAGTAACCGGAGATGAACACCTGTTGGCTCACCTCACCAGAGAGCACATCTGGCTGCCAACAAGGTGTTTGCAGTCTGAAGCGGCTCGTCCTCGTGTCGAGTTGACATCGAGACCACGGTCTTGCGGCTCGCCAGACAGCGGTGTCCCGGTTACTGACGTCGCCATGTTTCCACTTTTGCGATGCTTGACACAACCGTGGCCGCATGACGCCCCGTGTGTGGCTGGTCGTGACATCCGTGCGC